GCTCTTCCCAGCACGAAGTCGTTCCCGCGGGCTGCAAGAGCCCAGGAACAAAGTGTTCCAACATGAGCTTCCCACGGAGCCTTGGACCACTTCGGGCACAGCTCCCGGCTCCAGCATGGGGACATGCACGGGCTGCAGACAGGCCTCTGGTCCAGTGCACCTCTTCCCCCCCAGCTCTGGAGGTTCACCCCTGCTCTGGCATTGAGTGTGTCTGGGATCTCAATACAGTCACATCTGCCCTTGGGCTTGGCTTTGTGCTCCAGCGTGGACTCCTCCATAGCCTACGTGTTGGTATCTGCTCTGCCACTGAATTTCCATGGGCTGCAGGGGACCTCATTTACCTTCTCCTATTGAACTAGGTGTCTGAGGTTCTCCATCTTCCCCCTCCTCCTCCTCCTTCCTCCTGGCAATGAAGCTCTGTCCCTTTGTTTAGGCTGATGGTTGTCTTATGTTCAGGTCAATGGTCTCTTCTCCAGGTTCTCTCCACCTTCTTTTTAAGACAGTCCTTCCCCTCACAAATATGGATTTGCAAACATGTTTCCCTATTGCTAATTGTCTCAGCCTGGGCTGGGGCTGGTCCACCTTGGAGCCAGGGGAGCTTTGCACGGCTTCTCACAGGGTAGCCCCTTCCCAAAAGTACCACTGTTGGAAGCAGCCTTCTGTATTCCCCTCAAGCCTAAATTCAGGGCTGTAAACTTTATCACTTGAACGTCATCATTTCCTTCCAATCCCAGCTCTGTTTCCTGTAGTAAGATAGGGTCTGGCGGCCTGAAGATATCGGGCTGTACGGAAAGGTAAGACACCCCCCTCTATCTCCTAGTACTTAGCCTGTGATGTAAGCAGGCGGAAGTGACGTAGTGAACCCACACCATATAGTACTGTGTCGCACATCATTAAACGCCATTTGCAGCATCCTCATATTGGTGTCAGTGCTCATTGGCCCAGAGACGGGGTGTGTGTTTGTCTCTGTGCCTCCTCGACCGGACGGGACGTTGCGGGATAACAACTGCAACAGTTTCCCTCCTGCAGTCCCACTGTTCTGCTTCACAGCCCCATTACTCCTTAAGAGCCCCAACCCATAGGTGAAAGCTCTATATATTCCCCTCTATGCCTTCTCCTTCCCAAACTGGTCTCCAGCCACAATGCCCCAGCCATCTAAGGTGTTGGCCCTTTAAGAGCTGAAGCTGCAAGTGGCTTTGGCCTTGAGCAATTAAGTCTTGACTTAGAGTGAGAAAATACAAGAGAATAAGATTCGTGAGAAAGAATGCAAGAAAAACAAGATAAGAAAACTTCTTATGTAACTAGTCAGAAGTAAAAAGAATGCCTCATGAACAGGTGGATTTATCAAATCAAGTATTGTAACCAGACGTGTGAACAGTAGCTTTTAGCCAGTGAAGAGTTGTTTATGTGTGTGTGTGTGTGTGTGTGTTAGCAGCTTAAGAGTATATAAGTGATCATGTAACCAATAATAAAGGTCTCCAGTAGAATTCACATTGAATCGTGTGTGGAGTCCATGGGTGTTCCCTCTCGGCACTAAGGCACATCCCTAGCTCAACAACCCCATTCCCCTCACCTTCCCCAAATGGCTTTTTTCCCATGGTCTTAGCAGAGACACATCCCAGACTAATTAATTTCCTATAGGCGCAAGAGAAGAACAGCAGGGGAGGTCTGGGAGCTGGAGACAGCTTCATGCATCAATAAGCTACTGGCCAGCCAGTGACGGGAGCAGCTGTGTGAAGGCTCTTACTTCGATTTGTAAAAGATCCCAGACAGAGCAAAACCAGCAGTTGTTGAGATTGTTTTTGCTTGGCTTATATGCAACCCAGTGTGGGAACTGACAGCCTACTGATTCAGACTTTCATCTGCCAAAGGGCAGTTCTTGTTCCAGTCCTTGGTCCTTAGGTTGTATCTGCTTCTCAGCCATCAGCTTTGTGTAAAATGCACACGCAGTCTTAGGAATGAACTCCCCCCAAGCTGCTTCCTCCTGGCTAAGTGATTCAAGTTGTTGTTCTCTGCAGAGAGCTTTGTTGTCCTTGATTTAAGTCCTACAAATATCCACAAGCTTTATTTGGGTACACTCAGTAGTACATCAGAGCACAAGCCGCTTGTGCTTGTAGCTAACTACTGCCTTGGAGTTATCATGTGCTGCTCTGCTGTAATGTTAAGCATTCATATGTTAATCCACCCTTGGAGGCTGTTGTGCCTGACTGTACTGTAAGGCTTTATCAAATGACAGCAAAATTAATAGCTTGGTTTCTGGCAATTTGATACAAGATGCTTAATATGAAAAGCAGAATATACATAATTGAAGAGAATTTTGGAGCATTGCTTGTTTCTCTCCAACTACAATATTTTCATGTTTTTTTCTACCTTACCATTGACACCAAGACACTTTCTAATTTTCTATTCTGTAAACCAGAAAAGATTCTTCAAAAGGACTGTGTATGTGTATATGCTGGTCTTTTTCCCTGCTGAAAAAGATTCGACCATGCTATCTACCAGCTGAAATATCATGAACTGCAAGTAAATGTAACAGTTAGGGTTTTAAATCAATCAGTCAATCCCAATCAGTATCACAGGGAAGGGAATGGGAACAATGATTCCTAGGTTAATTAACTTTGCAACTTCTTTAGCTCTGAGTTTGAGAATTAATCTGAATTTCACTGTAGGAAAAGGTAGATGGTATTCCACACAGATATTTTTCTGAATCCCCCACTCCATTTCTTCTTTTTCTCCAGACAGAAACCAGTGGACTCTGATGTCCTTGAATGCTGTAAATTAGCTCTGAAGGAATGGACAACTCCAACAAAAAAACCCACATGAGTCTTCTGAGAAGCCAGCAAGGGAACTAGAAAACCCAGCTTGATTTGCAAAATCTCACCTGACCCATGCCTGACTCTCTGCTAATGCAACGCTAATTTATGACACCTTTGTACATCAGGTACTGCAACTCCTCAGCATGTTACTGTTTGTACAGTGTTTTTTCTTTAGTCTGCCAGTTTATAGTGGAACAGAGATATCCAATTTATATTAAATTGTTTATGAAAACATCCAAATACTACTTATAAAGCTTTAAACAATTTTCTTGCATGATACTGCAACACAGTTCATTTAATGTAACAGCCCAAATCAGGCTTAAAACCCCAATCCGTTAGCAGCCCATTCACACTCCTGCAGGGCACCTGCCTGATTCCACCTGACAGATGAGGGTGAAGTGGTTATTTGTGCTGTGGTCACCAAGGTTTCCAACCAGGCACTGAAGCTCAAGCTCTCTCACTGGTATCCTTTCTGCAGGCGCAGCAAGTTTCTGGTGTAGTTATTCAGGCTGGAGATTCATTTGTAACCATAAGGGCAAATTTCAAAATGAAATGAAGGCACAAGCTTTGTCCTCACTAGAAGAGACTGCTCCTACAGGCACATCCTCGTAGCACAGATATAACTCCCTCCAGCTTTTCTGGAGAGGGCTTTTCTCTGTAAAGTTTATACGGGTCCCAAAGACAAAACAAACTGTGGAAGCAAATGACTTTGCATTGAAACATCCATATTCTTTTTTTAACATGTCAAAATTTGGTCCAAAAAAGCTGGTATTTGCCAGTTATACTATGTCAGTCTACAGGCTACTTGAAAGACATACAGTAATATATATGGTGACCAGAAAAAGGTCCAACCTGACAGACTTTCCTTCTTGCCTCCTACATGGATTCTGGTAATGCAGAAATCCCATGTTGATCTCTGCTCATGTACCTGTGCACAGTGCACCAGAGTGTCACACTTATTAGCATATTCAGAGCCATCTCCATGCCACTAGAGTGCCATAATATGCATAAACAGTCTTTTTCATATGCGTTTTTTCCAGATCCAAGGATGTTTGTGTTGCTTTACGTCACAAGTTTTGCCATCTACACAAGTGAACAACCTCTTCAAAGCCAATTCAAAGGAGAAAATTACTACACCAGATACATCTGTAGCATCCCTGGTTTGCCAGGCCCTGTGGGTCCCCCTGGAGCCAGTGGATCCCCAGGGCCACATGGACGCATTGGTCTTCCAGGAAGAGATGGTAGAGATGGCAGGAAGGGAGAAAAAGGTGAAAAAGGGAGTGCAGGTATTGAATATTTGTGCAACCTAACACAGTAGTACAACAAAGTAAGACCTTTAATTGTCACTGTTTATACATATATATATATATATATATATATATATATGATGAATGTGTGTATGTGCCTGTGTGGGTTTAAGTGTGATGCATGTATATATAGCGAGAGAAAGAAAATATGCAGCTATATTTTAGATATGTCTAATATGCACATCCTGAAATCTGTGTAAATAAATGTAAATGCACAGCCTTCCTGCGCATAGATGCTAAGAAAAAGTTTGAGAAAAATGAAGCATGTGTGGTGTCAAATAGTCTCATTTGTGCCATTAGCCAGGAATAAAAGATTAGCAGGTATTTAGGTACACACTAAAAATGCTCAAATAGTAGGAGATATTTAGTGCACAAGTATCATTATATAGGTAGCCACACTGCTGTCCTTCCCATCTGCAGTGCCCATAGTTCAGTCAGCAATGGAATAATTACATATAAAATTCTTCAATGTGTAATCAAGACGTATAAAGAAAAGTAGAAATATATAAACAAAGGACTTCCGGGCTGTGCAGTTCAGTTTTCTGTTCCAACCTGCCATTCCTTTTGCAACCTTACTAGAAGATTTTGAAATATTTTTTTTAGTATTTTGAAATTCTGACCGTGTTTTTCTTGTTTGTTCAGGCACACACAGTAGCCCACACAATAATTTACTGAGATGATATATGCAACGATTAACTAACTTGAAATGTTTTTGAAGGTTTAAGAGGAAAGACTGGGCCATCAGGACCAGCTGGAGAGAAAGGAGACCAAGGTCAGTCTGGTAAAAAAGGACCTGGAGGATTGACTGGTGCCAAAGGTGAAGTAGGTCCAGCTGGACCACCTGGACCTAAGGGAGAGAAAGGAGACCGAGGAGAGCCAGGTGCACCAGGGGTCTGTAAGTGTGGAAAGATAGTGCTGAAATCCGCCTTTTCTGTTGGCATCACCACCAGCTACCCAGAGGAAAGATTACCAATTGTATTCAATAAAGTCCTCTTCAATGAGGGGGAGCATTACAACCCTTCCACAGGGAAGTTTATTTGTGCCATCCCAGGGATTTATTATTTTTCTTATGATATCACCTTAGCAAACAAGCATCTTGCAATTGGGCTGGTTCACAATGGGAAGTACCGGATAAAGACATTTGATGCAAACACAGGCAACCACGATGTAGCTTCTGGATCCACAGTGATCTACCTTCAGCCAGAAGACGAAGTATGGCTTGAGATCTTCTACACTGACCAAAATGGTCTCTTTTCTGATCCAACGTGGGCAGACAGTTTGTTTTCTGGATTTCTCTTGTATGTTGATACAGATTACCTTGACGCTTTATCAGATGAAGATGAGCTCTGAAGCAGATGATGTCAAATGACATTCAAACTGAACGCCCCAGTACACTTTATCTAGCTGTGTGGGGGACACAAAGTTGAAAAAAAATAATCTGAGAGTTTATTTTTGCTTTGATAGGAACTAAATATGAGCTCATAAAGATCTTTCCAGAATCTAAGCTGGATTTTTTACCAAACAGCAGGGATATCAAAAGGAACTGTAATTAACAAAAGACTGCATCACTCCAGGACTGACTCCTCCTGAAAGTTATGTTTAAAATACTATTTAAACAAATTTAAGATACTGTACATGGGATTTTATATAAAATATATTAAGTTGCAATGTAGAATGGATATTTTGTATATGACATTAAAGTAAAACTAAACAAATGACAGCAATACAATCTTTGGCTATTTTAAGATGGAAGAAAATACATTAAAAACAAAGACACTGATTTAGAAAAAAAAAAAAAGGAGAGGAATGAAATAGGAATATCTGCTTCAGGATGCAGCTGAACAGGTCACAAGGACAGTCCTATCTAATATTTACACCAACAAATGATAGTCACAACTAACTAACCTCCTAATAAATACATGAAGATTTGGACTAGCTAAGGACTGACCAATGAAAGTCATAAAAGAACAGAAGAAATGCATTAAACATATAAAATAATTAAAAACTGGGAGATCTGAAAACTTGGAGATAGACAATCAGTATTCAACATGGGTATTTTCAGTGTAATTCCAAGTGGGTTTGCTGTTCACTCAAAGCTACTCAGTATCTTTATGAGAAATGTGACAGAAAATACAAACTTTTTCCTGAAGAAAATTATGGATGCCAAAAATCTGATAGAACAGTAACCAGTAATGAGAAAAAATTATATGGAACAAATTAGAGTCACATCATTAAAGCAGACTTACTTATATTCCAATATGTCCAAATGCAATGAAGTAAATGTAGGTCACACACAAGATTAAAAACTGCATTCAGGAAATCAGTGAACTTGGAAAATATAAGTCATCAGACTAGGCTTTTGCTACAGCCCTTTGGATGTATGATAAATGGAATTACAAGTAGGAGTAAAGAGCACTTACTTATGAAGCTGCTACTTCTGTCAATGTTTCAAAAACTTACTTGAAAATAGAATTAAAAAAAAAAAAAAGTTGTAATTCTACCCATGCAGATTACACAGCAGATGTAACAATGTCAATTTATTTTTATTGTCAATGAGGTTAAGAGGTGATTTGATCACAGTCTGCAAGTACCCTTCTGGAGATAAAATTTCTGGTAGTAGCTGGCACTTCTATCACATAGGAGTACAGCAAGATCCACCAGTGAGAAACTGTATTAATTCCCACAGGAAATGAGGAACCCATTTTACCAGTGGCAGTAATCAGTCATTGTAAAAATACCTGGGAACATCAAGAGTTCTCCAGCACGCAACACCATTTAAGTCAAGACTGGCAATCTTTAATTGGGTGTTTTTACTTTCCAAGAATTATGATCTCATTTTATTTATCCCAGATTTACACAAACCTGCTTTTTTTCTAACAGCTACTCAGATAGTTTCAAATGCCAGTGATCTGTGCTGCACAGCCCCTTACCCCCACTTTATTTATGAACAAGGTGGAGGGAAAGTTCTGGGTTTCTTCCACGTACTTGACTTAATTAAGAAAATTACAGCCAAGTGAAATTACACAAAAATACCACAGAGGTTGCAAAATGAGCACTATGGTTATGTATGGAACATTAATCTATGCACGCTGTATCTGTGCCCTCATTTCCTCATGCATTAACATGTGTCTTTGAGTACATGATTGCGGCTTTATGCAGTGAACAGGTGCAAAGTCCTGCCCACAGATCAAACTGGCAATGCCTAGACAACCCTTATTTTATTTGACAGTGAGAGATGTGTTGTAGAAGACAAAAGTGGATTATTTTTCTAACCAGACATCTAATTTATTAATGCTATACAAGGGCTGCTTCCTGTTAAAAATATGGAAGAGAACACTTAACTGATTCAGTTTATTACTCTGCTGTACAATCATTTATACATCTGCAAATTAAGCACAATATGAGTGCAAAATGCAGCCCAATCATCATTTACAACAATGACTGATGCCAATGCTTCACAGCTATCCATGCCTATACAAGGCACAAGCACTGCTGGCGTTGCTCGGTGCTGTCTGCAATGAAATTCCACAGGACAGAACAGACAATCATATCAGGCCCATGACTTCCAGGAAGCATATTCATAGAATCTTTTTCCTGGTTGGAAAAGACCTTTGAGATCATCAGGTCCAACTGTACCTATCCACTACTAAACCGTATCTCCGAGCACCCCATCTAGCTGTCTTTTAAATACCTCCAGGGATGGTGACTCAACCACTTCCCTAGGCAGCCCGTTCCATTGCCTGAGATCCCTTTCAGTGAAGAAGTATTTCCTCACATCCAATCTGTACCTCCCTTGGTGCTATTTAAGGCCATCGCTTCTTGTTCTGTCACTAGTTACCTGGGAGAACAGACACACACCCACCTTGCTACACCCTCCTTTCAGGTAACTGTAGACAGTGATAAGGTCTCCCCTCAGCCTCCTCTTCTCCAGACTAAACAACCCCAGTTCCCTCAGCCGCTCCTCATAAGGCTTCTTCTCCAGCCCCTTCACCAGCTTTGTTGCCCTTCTCTGGACACGCTCCAGCACCTCAGTGTCCTTCTTGTAATGAAGGGCCCAAAACTGGACACAGCACTCGAGATGCAGCCTCATCAAGTCTGAGCACAGGAGAAGGATGACTTCTCTGGTCCTGCTGGCCACACTGTTTCTGATACTGGCCAGGATGCCATTGGCCTTTTTGGCCACCTGAGCACACTGCTGGCTCATGTTCAGCCGGCTGTCAACCAACAACCCCAGGTCCTTTTCCACCAGGCAGCTTTCCAGCTGCTCTATTCCCCACCATAGGGATATCTTTGGGTAAGATTTATATTAGCCTGAGGACTTTCTCAGAAACTTAGAGATCTCTAGTCACTAGTGGTCACTAGTGGTGTTCCCCAGGGGTC